GTCGACTCGTTGTTTTTCGTAACAGGTTAAAAAAAAAAAAAAAAAAAAAAAGAAGAAAAGGGAATTTTAATTAATAGAGGCAATTTTTTTGTTTTTAATGGACGCATCTCAAGCGTTTAAAAATCCGTTCCAATTTCGTTCGCAACACAACAATATCATCCCCGTCCCGTGCGATATTAATATGCCTTATTAATAAAGGATAAATCGTTTAACCGCCACTTTTTTTTTTTTTTTTTTTACAAATTTTATCGCGCTTTGCGTATCGTTGAAAATACGGATATTCGATTTGAATTCGGTTTCGATTAATTTCACTCCCTCCTTCTCGTGGCTGTTAACAAACGAAAGCAACCGTTACGCTTTTTAACGGGATTTTTATTCGTGATCAATTACGCTATGTCTATGTTAATACACACGAATTAATGCTCGTTACAAAGGGGGCATCTAGGGGTAGCTTTTGCGTCGAGGTGAAATGAATGGAGAGAACGAGAAACCGTGGAGACCGGTTGTTCGACTGAGAGAGAGAGAGAGAGAGAGAGAGAGGGAAGAAATTAACATCGAGAGGGGACGATTTTTACTTTTGCTCGTGTTTGAAAGAAAAAATTATGTCTCTTCTGCGAGAGAATTAAACGAAACAGGGATATAATGAAAGGATAAACGAGGACAGAGAAGAGAGAGAGAGAGGATGTCGTTATAATATTAGTTGGCATTAATTAATTCGAATCCGCTCTTTAGCTCGCTTGTTTACCAGAGAGGCTTGCCCTTTAACGGGCAAAAATAGCAGCGGCCAACGGTTTAGCAACGGTTCAACACGCACACACGACAACAAATCCTATATCTATACATTTCATTTCCCCATTCCGCTTTTCAAATTTACCGCCACGAATCCCTCGCCCATCGAATTCGAACCCCGTTGCGCTCCCTGTTTTCACGCGTGCGACCCCCTGTTCCCTTCGCATCGATCGACGGAATCTCCGTTTTCGAGAATTAATTTCTACCAGGAGAGAAGCCTCTCCTTCTCTTCTTGGACGTGGCGTCCTCGTGCAAGGAAACACGATTAAATAAACGCTCGATATTGGAAATCGTTCGAATTATTTTTCTTACGTTTCTTGACAGAAACAAAAAATTGTTTGAATAATCTTCGATTGTCACACACGCACATCTTCAAAACTAACTATTGGTTACACTCCCTCCTCAGAGATATTTCATACAACCGATATTCATAAAAATCATAAACTTTTATCATAATTCAAACAACTGCTCAACGAACACATGATTTAAACAACTAGCGACCATCCAACGTGCATCCATCCATTCGAAAAATCGATGAGGAACGAAGCTCCTGCGAAATAAATAATCCGAAAGGGACACGCGCCCGGTTTCTCCGTGACCGTTTCCTTCTCCTCCGGGAGTGGAAAGAGGAGAGGAGGGAGGGAAAGAAAAGAACAGAAGCAAAATATCTCCACAACCCCCCCCTGGCCAAATGGTCGGGGTACCGAGAACGGCGAGCCGGTCCCTGAGCCACCCCTCGTGCCTCCCCTTCCTCCCTCCCTCCCCCCGGGTTCGTATCGAGTTCGTTACAGATCCCCGTCGCAAGATCTCCACCCCTCTGGTGGTGTCGTCCCCCACCCGGGCAGACCCCTGCGCGCGCCCCTCCTCCCCCCCGCAGGCCCCGCTTCCACCAAGGACGCGGCAAGCGAAGCGAAGCGTCGCAGCCGCCTCGTATAGAAAGCAGTTGGTAGTCGCGTCCGCGATTTGCGCAACTCTGTCCTCGCTTCCTCTCGCTCCCTCCTCGCGTGAGTCGAGAGCGCGCGCGCGCGCGCTCCAACACCCGCGGAAGCAAGTCAAGAAGCGCAAAGTAACTCGATCCGAAAGTGGTTCGTACACGGTCCGATAAATAGAAAAGGAGGAGAATAGAAGGAAAGGAGGAAGAAGCAAAACAAGACTTTTTTTCTCTCCTTTCCTCTCTCTCTCTCTCTCTCTCTGTCTCTCTCTCTCGCGCGCGCGCGCGGTAATCTGTAATATCCACTCTCTTTCCTTTTCTTTTCTCCTGTTTTTTGCCCGTTTTTTTTTTCGGTGACCGAGTCTCGTTTCGACGAGTCGAGCGAGGAAGAACGGGGGGGGGGGAAGGCAGGGAGGGCAGGGGGAAGGGCAAGTAGGAGGAAGAGGAAGGAAGAGGAGCGAGAAGGGGTGCGCGCACGCGTGCGCGCGTGAACGAGCAACGCGAGCCTCTCTCGTGGGATGCCCGAAGTCGAACGGGAGATCGCGTGTGCCGCGTGCAATCGTCGAGGATTCACCGATTCATCGACCGATACGCGGGCGGGCATCGGCACGGCTTCGACGCCTGCGATCGAACCGCCTGCCATATAGAGAGAGAGGGAGAGAGATAGAGGGGGAGAGGGAGAGACGGATCGATCGGTGGTTTCCGCGCGCGTCGACGCCTCTCACGGCCACCCCCGCCGCCATTGATCCGGCCTATCGACGCGTCCCTCCCCCACGATTG